CCAACCTAATAGCAATGGCCTCCAACCTAATAGCAATGGCCTCCAACCTAATAGCAATTTCCTCCAACCTAATAGGGATGGCCTCCAACCTGTTGGATGATCTGGATGGATTTGTGCAAAGTGTTGAGGTCCACGGTTTTTCGGTTGGAGCTCCAGTCCTTAAATGTCGAGCGTTAAGGATGTTGCAGAGATTTCAAGAGTGTTTTGGAGGGGGCTTCTGATCATTCCAGGGGCATACTGCTGTTTAAAGTCTGTGGTCTGAAAATGATAGATAGGACATGCCTTGATTCATTGATGCATGCTTGTATAGAGTAGGCTAAGATTGGCTGAGGCTCTTGAGATATATCTTGGCCGAGATCGCTCGCACCGCAGCCACGATAGTCTTCATCGAAGCCGCCGTGCGACCATGGCTTCGCTGTGCTGGTCGCCATGGTCGCATCCAGTTTGAGTGTACCTCTGTGGAAAAGTGGATGTTTCCAGATGGGCCAAGTACTGGGTGCCTGGCTTCTCGCATCGCCAAGTGGATGTTTCCTAGGTCGACTCATTGGGTCGCCGGTCGACCGGGGGAAAGCCTCACCCGACATCCGAACAGTTCGAACCATAGGCCGAAGTCCTGAGTTCGGCAAGCAACCCGAAGTCCTGGGGCTTTTTCTCCATGGCCTGCAGTGGGGATGCCAACGTTTTTCTTGGATGTGTTGGGTGTCCCTGAAAAAAGTGCCAGATCCTTTTATCCACTGTCTTCGCTCAAAAGAAGACACACGTTGGATTCACCTGTTGCTTGTCAGAAGGAAAGTTAACAAAAGGGACAAGAACGAAGGTCCTTTGCATGGGAAGAGGAAGCCTTTGGTACAAAACCCATTGTAATATTTCTAAATAGTAAAACTCAGGTTTGTTTGCCGTGTACAAAACGGGCCCTTGTTGAATCTTGTTGATCTAGTATTGTGGATATGCAAAGCCCATGCATGACTCACTATAATCGTCGTTGCTCTCAGGTAAATGTTGGCCGTCCACCTTGGGAAGCGGAGTTCGATCCAGGCTTTCAAGCAGAGCCACCTGACATTGCTCCTGAACTCTTGAAACACGCGGATCTTTGTGGTACATGTCACCACTTGGAGAATCGCATCATTACGTTGCTGGTGCTGAAGATGGAAACATGAAGATCTCACTGGGGAAGAAACGGTTTGTCCCGGTTGTGCATCATTCATCGATAGCCTTGTTGGACAAGTGAAAACACCTCGTGATCAGCACACGATCCACAAGGCAGGTTGAACCGGTCTCAATCTGGTCTTCATTCGGAGTCCATTCGGCCTTTAGGGCACCAGGTTTGCTGTTGCTGTGAAGTTTGGAGAGATCCATCATTCAACTGGGGAAGTTCATTCAGGGTGGAAGACTTTGGGCATGCCTGAACATTGAATAAGTCTCTTCTTTTTTCACACATGGGCCGTGCTCCCCCCCCCCTAGTGTTTCAGAGATGAATTTACAAGTCTTCCGATTCGGGCAGAGATGGGCAGAGTGTTTCCTTTGGAAATGGATGGAAATGGGATTCCTTGGAATTTGCTCACTTTCCGGGAGATGTTTGAAAGATTCATGCGCCAACACACACAGGCAAAGTTGCCACTGTGTATAGCTGTGTTCAGATCTTAATTTTGAACCAGATAACACTTGAAACTCCTGAAAGTACCTTGTTCAAGAGAATCAGTCCCACAAGGGCTCCCAAAAGTCTCTATCAACAGCCTCTTGGAGGTTACAGGCGTCCAACAGCCACCCCCTTTGGAACCTGGGGATAGTTCTGTTGTTTCTTTGGTCACGTTTCGCATTGGAGCTTCTCACCTTCAAAAACCTGAGGTTTGAATGCAGAGGCTGCCATAAAGCGCAGCCGGTGTGCAAGGATTGCCGGCAAAAGATCCTTCACTGTGACCTTCCGTGCTTCTTGTGCAAGCGCCAAGGTTTGCCGTCGGCCATTCCTCAGCCCTCTCACTTCCGCGACGGCGACGGCGACCGCGACGGCGACCGCGACGGCGACCGCGACCGCCCTGCCGTGCCGCGGCGGAGCTTGGTCCTGACCGATCTCAATGGGACCCTGGGACACAGACCGCGGCAAGGAGCATCGGTGCAAGACACGGCACATCTACATGTCACTGAGCTTCCACTGGGATTTCATGGATATCCTTCGCGCTTCTACCACAGGCGCATGTTCGTTGAACGCACTGTTTTGTGTGCAAACACACGAAGATGGGTGTTCCGGCGCAGTTGGCTTCAACACAAGACCTTCCGTGGTTGAGGGGCCAAAAAACATGGGAATTTATGTTCCATTCTAAAACATGCTAAAACCAACCATCTGGGGCATTGACAACACGCTTCATGTCTTATTGATATCGCCTCGTTGAGGGTGTTGCTTACAGCTCGAAGAAGCCCTGAGGCGTCTTGCAGACGCCTTCCTGAAAGAGTTGCAGCTTCAAGAACACTGGGGGATTTGCACCAGCATGACACGATGCTTGGTTCGAGTCATTTTTGTGGCTTGAGTCATTTTTGTGGCTTGTTTGGCATAAGTCGTATCCGATGGTCATCCGAGGGTCGCCCTTTGTAGATCTTCAGCAAGTGGAGGTCAAGATGTTTGAGTCAGGTCTGAATAGATGTCGTCCTGAAGTTCGATTCTTTCAACAAATAACACCACCACCTTCCGGTGGTGCTTCGACTCTTCGTTACTTTCAACGTGATTTGCTCGATCCAGGCGACTTAGCAGTTTCTTCCGACGGCCAGTTAAGGATTCAACGCGCTTCCAATTCTGTGGGCCCTTCTGGAGAAAGTGCACCGGCATGTGGCCATCGTACCGAATGCCGAACACAGCAACAGGTTGCTGGGTGGAGAAGCTATCGCGCTGGGTCTGTGAGGTGTATAGAAATCTATTGTATTCCAATTTTTACACTCCCAAAATCACATACATGATCATACACGAACATGAATCACTGCACTGTCTCAAGGGAAAACACCATGTGCGATGAACGATGAACTGACAAGTGCGTAGTCTAACAGCAGATAAACAAAAAAAAGAATCAAAGTCAGCAATAGAATGCACTTATATACTACTACTATACTACTTAGATACTACTTGTACTTGTGTGAGACACCACTACAAACTATTCATGAAGAAGATAGGTCCCTTTCTTGGCATGGCAAGGTTTGGCACCCGTCCGGTGTGGTCGCCGGACGCCAGCTCTCCACTCCGGGCCACCGGGGATTTGACCCCCCCGCCTCTCCGCTCCCGTGGTGGACATGAAGCCTCCAAGCCCCTGAAGAAAAAGACCGTGTTGATATCACGTGGAATTCCTGTGCATCATATTCAGATATATTCAGTGTCCTCCATTTGTGCAAACCTGGGATGCCCTCCCCAGCAATCAACCGCAGCAAGGTTATATCTCCTGATCCTTGCACCGTGCAACGATCTGATGCTCGGTTCAAGAGGTCCCAACGGAGCTCCTGGTGGGAGCTCGGCTGGTGGAGCTGCCTGTGTTCGACTGTTTTGGGAGCTCGGCTGGTGGGAGACAGCCGTTGGCCATGGCAGAACGTGAAAAGCGGGGTCGCTGGGGGTCGAATTGTGCGTGGTCGTTCCTCCCGTAATCAACTCACAATCAATTGCGCTCCGCAATCTAGTAACGCTGAACATTTTGGATTGCCATCGGCCGACTGTGTGCTTGACTTGGTGTGTTTGACTAGCTATGACACAGTATTGGCTGTAGGCGGCGGCCCAGAGAGGAGCAAAGGGAGCCAGGGTTGGCTGCAAGGATGTTGCAGCGGCTTTGTCCCTGTTTGCTTGGCTGTGTGTACCTCGGCCTTTTCAACGTGCGGGATGCATTGCATTGCTAGGCTTCCTTCTGCTTCCTTTTGGCAAAAAAAAAGACACTGAACATCATTCAACTTGCAAATCGATATTGCTTTCAACAGTAGGAGGACAATGAGTTTCTTCATGTTGGTTTCCGGTTTCATGACATTGCTGATTGATTTTAGTTGCCTTTTGATTCCGTTCAATTTCTTGTCAGCAGTCATCTCAGGGATGGCTTGGTGTCATTGATGCAACCACGGCGGAAACGTTTGGAATGGAAAAGATCTCTCATGCTGTCCTTAGAGAGGACGGGGCGGGGCCGGGATGAAAGTAGACGAAGGAAGAGCCGGTCATAAAACAACAGCTCGTGAAATCATGGGTCCTTTCTGTAGGTTGCCTTGGCTGCATGTTTGTTGAGGCTGTGAGAACGTCACAAGAAACGCAGACCCTTTCGGCCGTCGCAGACCTGGAGACCTTCGGAAAAGGTCCGGTTGAATGTGACTCGATCCATCTCACGTGTTGTGACTTGACGGTGTATTTTTGTTGCAAGGGCTTCTGGTCACAAGGATCTTGCGATGATTGTGATGTGGCGAGCTAGACTTTTGGGCGACCCAGCACCATGCGAAGCGAAACGACCTCACTCCATTCGGAGGTCCTTTATACAATAGGTGGTGATCCTCACGTCAGGTTAGTTATAGTACTGGTGAGACATGGTGAGTGACATGGTGCATCAGTCAGAAACTCTTCATTTGGACCAACTGTGGCTTTGCAGGCCCAGACATTTCCTAAGTTTTCTTGCTATACTATAGCTGCTAAAGCATGGTCCCAGCCAGCACGTGTTTTTCTGGGCCACTGCTGGGCGCATGCGGAAGGTTGGCCTTTGTGGCTGTCCGACAGGCGCCTGTCGGCTTTGTTCCGGGCACTTGCTAGGCCTGCTGAGTACTTCGTGTTTGGGGACACTTTTCTCATTCCGGACTGTCATGGATCAGGGGGTCCATGGCGAGAATCGCGTTCCCCAGTCAGCTTCCTCCACTTCCCAATCTTCGACCTGCTTCCAGGACTTGTCCTTCCATTTTTGAGTGGAAGTCCTTCTGGTGGTTTGATGAGTCCACCTGTCAAGACGACTTCGATGCCGAACCGCCCCTGGGACAATTCAAAGATATTCAAAGGCTTCGATGCCCAAAAAGTATGTGTTTGCATGTTTATGCTAGATGGCAGCGGTCAGAAGTACGGATGGCTCGTTGCGCCGCTCGAAACCATGCAAGATTCATCGTTCGCTTTGCTAAATCAATGCTAAGCCCGGATTAATGAATCCTGGCTCGGATCAACCAGGGGAGGTGTATTAATCCTGGCTTGACATGACTGTTTCATGGACCATGATGGATGAATGTGTGTCGCGGAGGTATCGAAATGGCAACACCAAGAGCTACAGGAAGGTGTTCGACCTGGATCATATTTCACAGGCGAGCAATTTTCGGGTGAAGGAGATTCTGGTGATCTCTGGGCGTGCTGAGAAGATAAAGCGATATCCACAGCAATGCATCCAATGCTGCTTGGCGATTGGTGGATCGGGGTCATTTTGCGCTGCTCGTAGGTGCCAAGCTCTTCTTGATTTGTGCATGGCCGTGTCGCACGCTCGCATGGCCATGACCAGTTCGTCTGAGGTGAAGATTGCACTGAGAATAAGCTCCAAGACGCCCAGGAGGAAGGTACGCCAAGCAAAGCGGTCAAGCGGTTTTCAATCTGTGGGGTCGGCCAAAAACAAATCCAAACATGTCCAAACACTTCTGGGTAAGGTCCATATGGCCAGTGTCATCCCAGCCCATGACCACACGAAAGAATGCATCCTTCAAATCTTTTGTTCCTTCATACCACTTGTTCAGCTAGAAAAATGTCCCGCTGAGGCCTCAGGTGGAAGGTCATCGCTCGGTCGACACATGGAGGTCATCGACTTTGACCGATATTTGACTGCTCCTGAGGCCTCAAGCCTTTGTTAAACCTCGAGGATCTCCTGTATCGCCACAGACATCCCAGAGATGCTTCTGGAGGACGGGGCCATCGACTCAGCTCGCTCGGCCAAACATTCATGGATCAACTCAGGGAGGCGGTTCGAAGCCGTGAATCTCTGTGAATGCCCAAATCAGCGAAGCTGGTGACCGAATCTGGTAGGAGATATTTATAGTATATAATATTTTTGCAAATCATAGTTATGTTCAGTTCAGTGCTGTTCTTGACGGACACATATTCTTTTTTTTCCAGGTCACAGTGGGTTTTCATCCAAGCCTTGTTCTGATGTATCAGATGTCGTTGGCTTCAACTTGCTTTTGACATATTGAAGTGACTTTGTTCTTGCCCTACGTTTTTGATGCTACAAACGTTTGTTCAAGACAATAGGAACAAGGTGTCCCCCCCGAGCAGGAGTTCATCCAAACTGGTTGAGTGCAGCTACATCTGCGAATTACGGCCCTCGAATGGCATGTCTCAATCGATGACGAGCTCAGCCTTTCAGCTCTCCAGCTCTCATCTAAGACATTTTTTAAAGATTAGTTCGAGTATCACAAAAGACATCAAAAGACTATGTCAGTGTTCCGCTGCATTCCGCGTGTCCCATGTGTGCAAGCGTGGAGCAAAAGAGAGCACTGTAATGTGTGCGGGTGCCAGGGTCAGGTTTGGCCTATTGGCTTGACAAACATGTTCATCCGCAAGCTCAATATCCTATAGCACTTAGCAGTCTTATGCCAACTTATTGCAACAGAAATTCAATGAAATTCGTGTGGTGCATTGCCTATGTATTCATCCGCACAGCGCGATCTCACCCTTCACTCCCTTTCCCATCCTTTCCCCACTACTTTCCTTGACGATCTCCACGGGACACGGCACAGGTCTTAGCCAAGCTCTCAAGGGTCCAGGCGCATTGCAGCCACCTCGAGGATCGCCTCGTCTTCCAAGAGGAGGTGCGCCTCGGGTGGCGACGCCCCGGCCAGCGACGCCCCGGCTCGTGGGCGCGGCACACGCGTTCCGCGCGCTAGCCGCTAGTGATGCCCTGGAGGGTTCTTGGGGGGCGGAATGGGTGGGCAGGGAGGACAGTGAGGTGGGATCAGGTGGTTTGGGTGAGGTGTAGAAGGGAAAGTTGATTGGGGAGGAAACAAGAGTTCTGGGAGGTTTTGACCTGTCCATTAGGACGGCCCTGTTGAGGGGTCAAACACGCCATTGAGACAGCCCTTCCTCCCATTGATGGTGACCGTTGTTGAGACTCTTTTAATCTGTTGTACTATTATATTATAGTATTATATATTAATATATATATACATCTCAAATCCACAGTTTGGTTGCTTCTTGGAGCCTTTGGAGCCTCGGGTCATGCATAGTCATGCAGATGTTTCTTCATATTCCATCAGATTCCCACACCCTCACTCTTCTGGTTTTACATTCATTTTGTTATTCTTTTCGAGTCTTCCTCCCTTTCCAGGCGACCGCGGCTGCAGAACGACGTGCCAAGGAGGCGGAAGACAAGGCGCCGATCGCACCCAGGGCCTCAGGGGCGGGGATCAGACACCTTGAGTCGCGGCTTGAAGCATTGTTTATGTTGGCCCAAAAAGATCATATATACAAAATATATTTACACACTTCTTTTCCCCTATTAAAATTACTAAACCCTTCATTCATCTAGTATTAATCCCCTCCAAACGTGTCTTGGAATTGGAACCCATTTGGTTTAAGCTGAGGACCTCTTAGAGAAGCGACACAAAGTGTGAATGGCCTTCAGAACTTTGGTTTTCTCGGACTCAAAGCCCTTCATGAGTCCACTGGGACCGCTAGTGCGAGAGCTGCCTGGGTATGACTGAATTGGCTGCCCTGGGTCGAGAGAACCAGCGGATGGCTACTCTGTTCCCAAGCATGACAATGAGGGAGCAAACAGAAGTTGGTCAATTCCGGTGAGATGATCAGCGAATCGAGGAAGTCTTGAGACTTGTTGATACAGCTAGGCTCAACTCAACACCAGGTCTTTCTTCCAAACACTAGGGGCAGTGGTCACACTTGGGTGCGCATCCACGTGCGAGTGCGTGGCGCCAAATCCAGGAGCAGCAGCTTTGCATCCTAGTGACAGCAAAGGCCTTGGCACGCCAGGCCTGGAGTGGTGCCACCTCAGCTTGGTGGCATTCAAACTGCCGGGATTGCAATTTGTAGATAAGCGGATCAATGGACATGCTGCGGTGAACAATCAACCCGACTTCGGGGCAAATATAATGCATACAGCTCCTGTGTCATGTGCAGTCCATTGGAAATAATGTTTTGATTGAACATTAGAACTGTTGGAGCAGAAAGCCCTTGCAAAAATGCGTACATCAGGTGCTGCCCCCACTGGGAAACAGGTCGAACACCTTCATTTTGAACACACTTAAACAATCTTAAACATTTACTGTTCTTTGCCACCAGCATCATCACTATGCTGTTGCAAGGCAGGTGCAGAGTCCAACGATACAGCATAGTTTTCATGTTTGTGTATGCTGGAACATGTCCACAAAGAGGCCTGAGGCAAGTTTAATTCTACTTCATCGAACACAGTCTCAAATTAAGGAAAACACGTTCCTCCAGCGGAAGGAAGGACTAGCACTTGGTCCTTGGTCGTCCCCAGAAGCCCAACTCCCCCTTGGTAGGTGCGGCAACGTGATCGCATGGCCCAAACCCTGTTGGCATGCGAGCAGAACGATGAGGAGCAGTGGAGGCCTGCAATGAAATTAAAAAGAACAAACACATCATTCTGGGACGCATACCCCAATGTGTGGGACTTAGAAGACTGAAAAGCATTTTGAGCAGATGCTTGCAGATGATCATGTTTGACCATGTCATGTCTTGCTTCCACACCCATTTTCCCGTTGAAACGGCACTTCCCAAGCTTGAAGACGAGAGTCGTGAAGGTCAGACTCGACACGTCACCGCATCCGGTGTTTCTTTCTGCATCGACATACGTTTCTTGCGCGCGGAAAGTACATGTTGCTTCCGTAGCCCGGGGTTTTGGGATCAACATCAGGCGTTCTTCCTGCATCGACACCAGGAGGGGACTGTGGAACCATGAGGGACTCCCCTTTGGTTTGAGGAAAGACGCATGAAGCGCATTGAAGCCAGCCCTTTCGAGCAGAGCCTGGCCCCGATCCCATGAGGCTTTCGGTGGATGGTGGTCCAGCAGATCTTCAGTCCGGGGTTCCCATGGCTGGCTCGGTGCGTTTTTGACGATGGCTCGGTGGCTGGGAGCGTTTCGACATGCCTTCAATGGGTGTGTATTTTTTGTAGGGAGACTGCCCAACCAATGGGTTTTGGCAGTGGTTTGGTTTATTCTTCTTCCAGGGGGTCGAACTGAGAGGTCTCCGTCGCACCGATGCTGCTACCCACCACCGCACCGGGCACACATCGTAGCACTCAGGTCGGTCGTGCAGAGCGACACGACAACCTTAGCTGCTCAATACTTGGCAGATGTGAGGCGCGGCCTAGGGCGGTGAGTGAGATGAGATGTGTGGGGTAGTCCTGCAGGTCGGTTCACCTTTGGGATTTTCTCAATCTCTCAGAGAAGTTCACAAGCTGATCAGAGTTCGATTCTTGCAAGATCTGCCCTGGCCGGGCCTGAATTCGAAGGTGTTGGTACCAGAAAAAGGGGGAGGGAGAGTGTAAACCTGGTGGAATCGGCCCAACATGGGCCCATCTCAAGCTAAACTTCTTCACTTTGGGACAGGGTCGCCACAACAGAAAAGGTCAAGCTGACTTGAAGTGGGTGATGGTCTCAGCATGAGGAAGGCTTCCCCAAACACCCAGCAGGTTTGGGCGTTCAAGAAGAGCAACTCTTTCATGAAAAGATCAAAGAACTGTTCTCATGGCCTTGCAAGCACCTGTCTCTCTGGTCTACCTTTTTGGCCACGTGCACTGCCACTCCACGGACCCACCAGGGACGATGAGGACCTGCAGGCGAGACACCGCCCGGACCGGTCTCTCGGGCGGCGTCTCGGACGGTTTGGGGCGGCTGCGCGTCGGGGTTTGACATGGATCGAAGAATTCCTGGTTCATCTATATATATATATATATTGTTGGTGTTGGGACATGGTCGTGTTCCCTTGGTAACAAGCTGCAAA